AAAATTCATTAAATATTTTTTTAGTTCAACTGCATACGCAATTTAAAGTGGAATGCAATGAAACCAATTAATCGACACAGCACTACGTAGAGGAAATGAGCAAGTTCATGGGATACATTTATCTTTTATACTCTTGACATTTATATTAAATTCATTTTATAAATATGGAATAATGTAATGCATGATTATATTTATACGTCATTATCTCTAAATAAATACGGAAAAGGAAAAGGATTTTTCCAGCGGGCAAAAAACCTCGTCCTTTTCTTAATTATGTAATTTGAACGGGCATTCTGGAATACTTCAAAGCTTAGGAAGGAAATTTTCCTGTTGATATAAAATATTTTATCATCATAATTGCCTGAATATGAACGTTCAATTTCTAAGAACGGAGCTATAGAAACGAATTATAGGGCATTCTCTATTAATTTGTATGTATCTGTATTAATCTAAATCACATCGAAAAGTAGGTAATATGAAAATTGGAATACAATTAATCCAAGTACTAAACGAATCACCTCTCACGGGAATCTGAAAATTAAGCACAAAGAATTACTTTCAGCTTCAATCTATTACTAACCAACATTATCTGTCAGCACCAAACCTTATCGCAAAGCATATGCTTCGGCATCCTCGAGTGAAAAATAGTCGGCGACTTGTTTCATGTTCCCGAGCAGGGCGGCCCAACCCCATTAAATTTTTAAAAAGTGAAGAAAAAATTATTGATTTTTTTTAAATATATCAGCCCAGATGAAAAAAAAAAAAAAATTCCAGAGTAACTACACCAAGACCTATTACACCATCCCCTTCCCAAGCTGCATCACAGTCCAATTTCAACACCCCATCCTCAGGCCTCCACCATCTCTACAACTCCAACGAGCCCCCACCTTTCATCCCACAGTCGTCAACTCGAGGAAACATCAATGATCATCTCCACCCCACTCTTTTCCCACCGTGCGTCAACTAATTTCCTTTCCTAATTATACTCAAATTTTACGTGGGAAATGCTTTAAGAGGGTTATTGTAGACTTCTATACATAAAATTCATTATTCTTTTTTATGGAACACATAACTTTGGCATGGAAATTATAGAACATTAAGATCAAAGAGCAAAAGGCTAAAGTTTGAAATAAAATTTGACGGGATAAATTTTTTTGTGCAATGTCCAATTTTTTTCATCTAATGAAAAAATCCTGAACTGTAATGTTTTTTTTTACATTGGCGAGAGTAGTTAAATCCTTAGTTTAAGGCAAACAATATAATCAATGTGTGATTCTTAATTTAATTTTCAAGATTCTAGTTGTTTAAATTTTCATTTTTTGATTCTATCGATGATTAATGCCATGAATTAATTAGCCACTAATTCAATGATATATGAATTTGTAAAAGATCGCGGGATAAATTATAATTTAGGCCACATAATAAAATTTGGTAATTTGGATAAAAATCTAGAGATACTTTTTTGTTTATTTCTTAGATATTGAATGCATTTAATTAGGGTTTATTCAGATTCACATAGAGATAAGATGGATTGATTTAGTTGAATATGATCAGTTTGAACTCGAGAGAAGTAAATAGATTAATAGAGAAAAATTCGACCGAACACTATAACAAGTAAATAAACTTGATTTGCAAATAAAATTTTATCAATAGATGAAATTATAAGTCATAACATCAAAATTCATATTTTAAAAATCCTATTTTGATACATTAACTTTGACACTCATTTTTCTCTTCCTCATGAAAAGCTTTTCTCTCTTGTCTTTTGACAAGCCTACTTTCATCCTTTAAATTCTCTTATCATTCATATACCGTCTTGGTGCTATCATGGCTCTTGAAGAACTGTATATGAAATTATCAATAGAAGATGAAGAACAAGGTGTGGAACTGCAAGAAGGTGATGTTACAGAGGAAATTGTCGAATATCGCTACTGTTTGGTTGGCAGATTCCTTACAGATCGTGTTATCCATTTTGTTTCGATGAGGAGCACTATGGCATCTGTTTGGCGACTGTTCGAGTGAAACCCGCAAGCGTACGGATCGTTGTACAAGTAATAAGATTTGTGAGTTAAGAGTATCGTTCCCTCGAGAAATAAGGTCTAATTTGTAATTCTATAGCTACTATTAAATTC